TGTGTGTGTGTGTGTGTGTGTGTGTATGTGAATTTCTCACCCCAGCTTCATTGGCAGCCCGCAGTCTGAAGCTGTACGTGGCACCAGGAAGCAGACTACCAACTGTGCATTGCAGCTCCGACCCATGGTACACCTCTGCTGCCTTGGTGTCTCCCTCGCTCATCTCCAGACTGAACACACACTCCTCACACACTCCCTCAGAGACAGGGGAGTCTATGCATCAGAGGTACAGAAAGAAAAGCATTTACGATCAAACTGTAATAAGTTGGCACGTGTTCAAAATCACGTGATGGAAAGTCACAGTTTAAAGTCTTTCATTGTAAACCTTAAAAAGTAGTTTCAAGATTATGTTTTGTCTTGATTACAGACCAGCTCATCAGGTACATTTCTCAATCTTGTCCAAGGAATTCTTTCTTCCAGCAGCTGCTTCATTTTGGTTGCAGTGTGATACATTTTGGAGACAGTGAGGAAAACCCTCAATACGTCATGTCTGACCTTCAACTTAAGCCAGTAAATGCAGCAGTGCCGCTTGAATATGAGCTGAATAGGACTGTGGCCAGTACTAATCTGCAATAAGGGGCTGACATAAGGAGAGTTAAGTCAGACAAGGGGCTAGGTTAGGCATTTAATGGGCCAAATTAGAGCTCAATTAGGCTGAAATATGGTTGGCTGAAGCTGCATTAGAGCTGGCCAGTGACACATATTAAACAGACAGAAGGTGATTTAGCAGCCTTACATAAAAATTAAAAAAAAGTCACAAACATTCAAAAAGCACCACAGAGTACATGTATGTCTACACTCACCCCATTCTAACTGCACTTCCTTGTGTTTGGTTTTACCCACAATCCTTGGCGGCTGGCAGGGCCCCGGCGGGACACTTGATGTACGAACTGGAACACTAACGGTGCACTTCAGGAGCAGAGACAGAGTAAAAAGGAAATCAGAACAGAAAAGAAGAAATTATATTTACAGATCCGTAACTAGTGGAAATGTTAATCTTGGGTATTTGAGTGTCGACTGTGCGTGTGCAGATTGTAGATTTTCCTGCATTTTGCATTTTTCTATCTAAGCAATGCAGATCTGTCTGTTCACAGATGTGTGTGTGCCTTACTGGGCTGTGTCCTCCGGTGGTGATGCTACACACACGTAGGCGGTACAAGGTCCCGGGTGTCAAGCGCTCGCACATGCATTCTGTTGCTGGACCGCTGTATGCTACCTCCCACTGGCTCACTACATGAACACACACATGCAAGCATAAAAAATACACAATTATGCAACTAATCATATAAATAATGTCCTGCTGTTACAACGTAAATTTTTGCAGTTGCCCCAGAAACAGTTTCCAATTGACCTCATTAATGAGTGCGTGTTCAGTTGCTGTTTTTGTTCTGTATAGGACTGTGAAATGCATTATTACACCTGTGAAACAGTTCTCATGAATATATGTATGTCTAGGTGGTGCCCAGAAAATAACGTGGGCTTCATAGACAACTGGAAAACATTTTGGGGAAAACCTGGTCTGATTAGCAGAGATGGCATCCATCCCACTTTGGGTGGTGCGGCTCTCTTATCTAGAAATCTGGACGAGTTTGTTTTACAACCTAAATTATGACAACCCAGAGTTGAGTCCAGGATGCAGGGTCGCAGTCTTACACGCCTCTCTGCTGTCTCCTTGCAGCTGCTACCCACCCAACAATCCCAGTACCCCATAGAGACTGTGTCTGCCCCCCGCCCACCTAAATTATATAAATCAAGAATCAACTCCAGAGGAGTTATTCATAAGAACCTAATTAAAATTAAGATGACTCCTCTTATAGTAGAAAGTAATAGGACAATCAAATGTGGACTACTAAATATCAGAGCTCTCTCATCTAAACCTCTGTTAGTGAATGATTTGATAAGTGAACATCACATTGACTTATTGTGTCTTACTGAAACATGGTTACAGCAGGAAGAATATGTCAGCCTAAATGAATCCACTCCACCTAGTCACAGTAACTGTCACATCCCTCGAAACACAGGCCGAGGTGGTGGCGTGGCAGCGATCTTTGACTCAAGCCTATTAATCAACCCTAGACCTAAACATAGTTATAACTCATTTGAAAGTCTCACCCTGAGTCTCTCACACCCAAACTGGAAAACTCAAAAGCCTGTTCTGTTTGTTATTGTATACCATCCACCTGCTCCTTATTCAGAGTTTTTAAGTGAATTCTCAGACTTTCTGTCTGATTTAGTGCTTAGTACAGATAAAATAATCATAGTAGGCGACTTTAATATTCATGTAGATGCCGACAATGACAGCCTCAACAATGCATTCTGTTCATTATTAGACTCAGTTGGCTTCTCTCAAACTAAATAAACCCACTCACTGTTTTAATCACACTCTTGATCTGGTTCTGACATATGGCATCAAAACTGAACACTTAATAGTTTTTCCCCATAACCCTCTTCTGTCTGACCATTTTCTAATAACTTTTGAATTTAAATTAATAGATTATACTCTATGTGGGAAACAATTCCACTACAGCAGATGTCTATCTGGCAATGCTGTTACCAAGTTTAAGGAAATAATTCCATCTTTATCTACTTCAGTGCCGTTTGCCAACACAGTGGAAGGAGGCCACCTTAACCTTACTCCCACACAAATCGATAATCTTGTTGATAGTACTGCAGCCTTCCTGCGTAATACACTTGATACCATTGCCCCTCTGAAAAAGAAGGTAGTGAAACAGAGGAGGCTAGCCCCGTGGTACAGCTCGCAGCTCCGCTCCCTAAAGCAGGCATCACGAAAAATGGAAAGGAGGTGGCGCTCCACTAAGTCAGAAGAGTTTTTCATAGCCTGGAAAGATAGTTTAATAACATATAAGAAAGCCCTTCATAGTGCCAGAACCACATTTTATTCATCACTGATTGAGGAAAATAAGAACAACCCCAGGTTTCTTTTCAGCACTGTAGCCAGGCTGACAAAGAGCCACAGTGCTGTTGAGCTTAACATTCCCTTAGATCTCAGCAGCAATGACTTCATGAGCTTCTTTACAAATAAAATCACAACTATTAGAGAAAAAATTGGTCGGACCACTCCCACAGCTCTCGCAGATGTGCCATCTACTACAATGGCTTTAGAAACATCTGTAAGACCTCATTTATACTTGGACTACTTCTCCCCTATAGATCTCTCTGAGTTGACCTCAACAATTGCTTCATCTAAATCATCAACATGTCTCCTGGACCCCATCCCGACCAGGCTGCTCAAAGACGTCTTTCCCCTAATCAACACATCCATACTAGATCTGATTAACCTCTCTCTATTAACAGGTTATGTTCCACAGGCTTTTAAACTTGCAGTAATTAAACCTCTACTCAAAAAGCCTACTCTTGACCCAGGTGTCCTAGCTAATTATAGACCAATATCCAATCTCCCATTTATTTCCAAAATCCTTGAAAAAGCTGTTGCAAAGCAGTTATGTGACCACTTGCACAAGAATGATTTGTTTGAGGATTTTCAGTCAGGATTTAGAGTCCATCATAGTACAGAAACCGCATTGGTGAAAGTCACCAATGAAATGTCCACACAAGAAAGGTGTTCCATCAGGGGTTGGTTCGCACAAGTATATAAAGACAAACACACACGCACACACCACATGTCAGGAATCGGCGCGTTATGCTGCCAAAAATGTTGAGGGTGAACTCAATTAAAAGGCCAGACAAGGAAATGTAAAACAAAACCGTCTCTTTAATAAGAGAACTAACGCTAAACAAAACCATACAAGACACGGTGAAACACAAAAATCACAGGTCGGTATAAACAGTCCGAGATCAGAGCCAGCAAACACATACAGCAGAGGAATCCAAATACGTAGTCCAAAGGGAAGTCCGATAATTATACACAGTGACAGTCTGAAGCAAGAGGGCAAGGCAGAACAGAATAGTCAGAGGAACAAGCCGGGTCAAAAACACAAAGTACCAAAACCGAAAAATGCTGGAGAGTGAGAGGTGGCGTCTAGAACAATCTGGCTGGGATTGGTGGGTGAAGGCTGCTTATGATGCGGTGCAAACTATAATGAGCAGGTGAAACTAATGCGGGTGATGAAGAAAGTAAAAAGACCAAAACTGTGGTGAAACAAAACAGGACGTAGCATCAAAATAAAAGCCTGACAGGAAGCAACACAGAACCGAATCATGACACCACACACACACACACACACACACACACACACACACACACACACACACACACACACACACACCACACACACACAC